GGGATGCAGTGAAAGCAGTCCTAAAAGGGAAGTTCATAGCAGTGCAGGCCTACTTAAAGAAGCAAGAAAAATCTCAAATCAACAGGTTATCCTTACACCTCAAGGAACTGAAAAAAAGAACAGCAAAATAAGCCCAAAGGGAGTACAAGGAAGAAGATAATAAGAGACCAGAGTGGAAATAAATGAAGTAGAGTCCAGAAAAACAATACAAAAGATCAACGAAACCAAGACCTGGCTTTTTGAGAAAATAAACAAAATCTACAAATCTCTAGACAGACTCATCAAAGAAAAAAGAGAGAGAGGACTCAAATTAGTAAAATCAGGAATGAAAGAGGAAAAGTGACAACAGACACCATAGAAATACAAAAAATTTTAAGAAAATACTATGAGCAACTTATTATATGCGAACAAATTTGATAATCTGGAAGAAATGGATAATTTTCTAGAAGCATACAACCTTCCAAAGCTAACTCAAGAAGAAACAGAAAATCTGAATAGACTGATTACTACCAAGGAAATTGAATCAGTAATCAACAAACTCCTAACAAACAAAAGCCCTGGACCAGATGGCTTCACAAGTGAATTTTACCAAACATTCAAAAAAGAATTATCACCTATTCTTCTCAAACTATTCCAAAAAATCCAGGAGGGAAGGCTCCCAAACTCTTTCTATGAGGCCACTATCACCCTGATCCCCAAATCAGACAAAGACATTACAAAAAAAGAAAACTACAGGCCAATATGCCTGATGAACATAGATGCAAAAATCCTCAACAAAATATTAGCAAACAGAATTCAGCAATAGATTAAGAAGATCATACACCATGATCAAGTGGGATTCATCCCTAAAATGCAAGGTTGGTTCAATATCCACAAATCAATTAATGTGATACACCACATCAACAAAATGAAAAATAAAAATCATATGGTCATATTAATAGATGCAGAAAAAGCATTTGACGGAATACAGCAACCATTTATGATAAAAACTCTTAGCAAAGTGGGAATAGAGGGATCATATCCCAACATAATAAAGACCATATATGATAAACCCACAGCTAACATCATACTCAATGGGGAAAAGCTAAAACCATTCCCCTTAAGATCAGGAACAAGACAACGCTGTCCACTTTCTCCACTTTTATTCAACATAGTTCTGGAAGTTCCAGCAACAGCAATCAGACAAGAAAAAGAAATAAAAGGCATCCAAATTGGTAAGGAGGAAGTAAAATTGTCATTATATGCAGATGACATGATACTATATATAAAGAACCCCAAAGACTCCACCAAAAAACTATTGGACTGATAAATGAATTCAGTAAGGTAGCAGGATACAAAATCAATATTCAGAAATCAGTTGCATTTGTATACACCAATAACAAACTATCAATTAAGAAAACAGTCCCATTTACAGTTGCTTCAAGAACTATAAAATACTTAGGAATAAATTTAACCAAAGAAGTAAAAGACCTGTAACTCAGAAACTTATAAGACACTGAAGAGAGAAATTAAAGAAGATACAAATAAATGGAAACATATACCATGCTCATGGATAGGAAGAATTAATATAGTTAAAATGTCCATACTGCCTAACGCAATATATAGATTCAATGCAATTCCTATCAAACTACCAAGGGCATTTTTCACAGAAACAGAAAATACAATCCTAAAATTTATATGGAACCATAAAAGACCCCGAATAGCCACGGCAATCCTGA